TGCCTTATTTCTTTCAACTTCTCCTTTCTCATTTAGCTTACTTCTGAAGACCCATTTAGTTCCAATTATATTGAATCCTTGTGGTCTTTGAACTAAATCCCACACATCATTTCTGGTGAATTGATTTAACTCTTCTTGCATGGCAATAATCCAATCATTGTCTTGCAGAGCTTCATCTACAGAAGATGGTTCAATTTCTGACACCAGTCTAAATAATGGTGCTTCAGATGATCTTAGAAAGGATCTTGTTCTGATGGGATCATCCTTCTTTCCAATAATGACATTCTCTGGATGAGAAGCTTTAATTCTGGATGATGATCCTCTAACAGTTGATTCTTCAGAAATGTTTAGATTGTTCATCTGAGAAGTTAAAGGAATAGCATCTGGCGTTGCTTCTGGTTCCTTCACTTGAGCTTTGTCTGCCTCTGGGACTTCAGAGTCAGTGAAGACTACTTCTCTATCTGCAGAGTTTTCAGACTGTTTTGGCTTTTTATTGCCAAGCTTATCATCAAATCTAACATGAATAGATTCTTCCACAATCTGTGTCTCAGTGTTGTATACTCTGTAGCCTTTAGAGCGTTCAGAATATCCAAGCATGAAACACTTCTGTGCTTTGGAATCAAACTTGTTCAGATTTTCTTTAGTATTTAATATATAACAAATACATCCAAAAAGATGAAAATATGAAATGTTGGGCTTTCTGTTCTTCCACAGTTCATATGGAGTCTTCTCTAGAAGAAGTCTTACAGACACTCTGTTCTGAATGTAACAGGCTGTGTTGATTGCTTCTGCCCAAAAGTGTTTTACCAGATTAGCCTCATTGATCATGGTTCTGGCCATTTCTTGCAAAGTTCTGTTTTTCCTCTCTACAACCCCATTTTGTTGTGGAGTTCTAAGACAGGAAAAATCATGAGCAATGCCATTTTCATTAAAATATTTTTCAAAATATTTATTTTCAAATTCACCACCATGATCACTTCTGACTTTTATAATTTTGAAATCTTTTTCATTCTGGACTTGCTTGCAGAAGTCAAAGAACACAGAATGTGACTCATCCTTGTGTTTTAAGAACTTTACCCATGTCCATCTACTATAGTCATCAACAATGACTAATCCATACTTCTTGCCTCTGATGGATGCAGTTTTCACTGGTCCAAACAGATCAATATGAAGTAATTCTAGTGGTCTGGAAGTAGAAACAACATTTTTTGATTTAAAAGATGATTTTGAAAACTTCCCTTTTTGACATGCTTCACAAAGAGCATCTGAGGTGAACTTCAGATTAGGAAGTCCTCTGACAAGATTAAGTTTATTAATCTGAGATATACGTCTCATATTAATATGCCCCAATCTTCTGTGCCAGACCCATTGCTTTTCATTAACAGACAAGAGACATTTAACATTCTGAACTTTAAGTTCTGAAAGATTTATTTTATAAATGTTGTTTTTCCTCTTACCACTAAATAGAATAGAGCCATCCTTTTGACTAATAACTTTACAACATTTTTGATTAAAGGTAATATCATAACCATTGTCACTTAATTGACTTATGGACAATAAGTTATGCTTTAACCCTTCAACAAGTAAAACATTAGTAATAGAGGGAAGTTTACCATTTCAAATGGTGCCAGATCCAATGATCTTGCCCTTCTGGTTCCCTCCAAACTTCACATCACCTCCAGATCTAAGCTCCAGGCTTTGGAACATAGACCTTTCTCCTGTCATGTGTCGTGAGCATCCAGAGTCCAGGTACCATGATTGGCGTCCTGACCTTGCTACTAAGAACATCTGCAACAGGAATTATTTTACTTTTAGGTACCCAAATCTTCTTGGGTCCTTTAGGGTTAGTGGTTCTGAAGGTTTGTCTAAACTTCTGTTTTTCAACATAAGGTTTATTCTGACTAGCCTTAGATTTAAACACATGAATATTCTTTTCAGAGCGTGTTTGTTCAATATCATTCAAGTGACCAAATTTAAAGTGTGAATATAAAGGAGTTTTCTTGATGATAATTTTATCAACAGGTTTTGGATTTAAATCCTTTCCAGAGGGGGATTCATATCCAATTCCTTTTCTGTTATTTCTGCTAACTCCATAGATCATAGAAGCCATTTTGCTTCTGTCTATGCTTTTAGCAAGAAACTTCTGAAAGCTATAATCATATTTTTCCAAAATATTTTGGCATTCAGATTCAGTTTCAGAATCAGAGTTTTGTTGAGCTAATTCAGAATCATTTTTCAATTTTAAGTTCTTTTCATTTAGCTCAGCTAATTTTGATTTGAGAATATTATTCTCAGATACAAGATTGCTTTAACGCTTCTTGTATTTGAGCTTAATATTGTTATAGCTTTTCAGAACTTCTGATAACACTTTGATAAGTTCTTCTTTAGTATGTTTAGCCATTACCTCTTCAGCGTCAGAGTCAAATTCAGAGTCAGATTCAGATCCTGAAGTTCCTTCCTCCTGATCTTCTATGTCTACCATCAAAGCTACATTGGCATATTCTTCTTCTGACTCAGATTCAGATTCAGATGTATCTGAATCATCCCAGGTGGCCATCAGAACCTTCTTCTTCTTATCAAATTTTCTTTTAGGCTTTTATTTCAGCACCTTTGGACATTCATTTTTGTAATGTCCAGGTTCTTTACATTCATAACAGACAACCTCCTTTTTGCCAGATCTTCTGTGTCCAGAAGATTCCTTTCTTTGGTCAGGCTTTCTGAAGTTTATGAACTTCTTTCCTTTATGCTTCCAGAGTTTGTTTATTCTTCTGGACAACATGGATAGTTCATCTTCATCTTCAGATGAGGATTCTTCAGAGCTTTCCTCTATTACCTGCAATGCTTTAGCAGATTTATTAGATTTTAAAGCTACAGATTTACCTTTCTTTTGAGGTTCATCTTCCTCAAGTTCTATTTCATGACTTCTTAGTGAACTGATCAATTCCTCCAAGGAGATCTTGTTCAGATCTTTAGCCATCTTCAGCACTGTCACCATAGGTCTCCATCTGGTGGGAAAGCTTCTGATGATCTTTTTCACATGATCAGCAGTAGAGTATCCTTTGTCCAGAACCTTTAGTCCAGCTGTAAGTATTTGAAATCTGGAGAACATAGCTTCAACAGATTCAGAGTCTTCCATCTTGAAGGCTTCATACTTCTGGATCAGAGCCAGAGCCTTTGTTTCCTTGACTTGAGAGTTTCCCTCATGAGTCATCTTTAAGGATTCAAACATGTCAAATGCAGTTTCCCTGTTTGTAATTTTTTCATACTCAGTATGAGATATTGCATTCAACAATATTGTTCTGGCCTTGTGATGATTTCTAAATTCTTTCTTCTGAGCATCTGTCATAGATTTTCTGTCTATCTTCTTGCCATTCCCATCAGTGGGATGAACATATCCATCTATGACCAGATCCCATAAATCAGCATCATATCCAAGGAAAAAACTTTCAATTTTGTCTTTCCAATAATCAAATTTCTCCCCATCAAACATAGGGGGTTTGGTGCTGATTCTGTCCCTTTCTTCATATTTGTAGTTAATGTTAGACATTGTATTATCAGCCATAGTAACAACCAAATATATATCAAAGTATTTCTCTCTGGATCTTTACTGTCACTGTTAAGTGGTAGCACACACAGAACCGGAGCTCTGATGCCAACTGAAGGTGAGATAATACTTAGAAGGGGGGGGGGGGGGTTGAATAAGTATGAAGATTAAAAACTTAGAAATAAAAACTCAAGTATTTTTATCCTGGTTCGTTGAACTCAACTACTCCAGTCCACCCTTCCTAGAGTGATTTTCCTTTCTCAATCAAGGACTTAATCCACTATTAAATCAACTGATTACAATAGTTAACACTTAGAACAACTGTTCAAAGTCTTCTCAAGAACTATTGATCCTAACTGGATCTTCTTAAGGTTTACAATCAAATGTAATACAAATACAAGTGTTTAAGATTGCTTCTATAAAGCTTTATCACAACTGTGATTTTTCACTTAACTATTTAGAACAAAGAAATAAATTCTTAGAAAGAATATGAATTAGTATGAGAGCTTGAATGTTAATTTCTTTTCAATAAAACGTCAACTGAAGAAATTGGTGAAGTCTTGCTTTTATAGGCAGCTGATCCAAGGTGAGCTTCACGTTGAGAAGAGTGTCCAAAAGGTCTGAGCCTTTTTGTCTTCACATCAAGTGACCTTTCCTAGAAGAAGAAAGCACAGAAAAATCCTTTTTGTCTGCGTTCTTGTGTCTAGCATAAATAAGGAAAGAGTCGTTTGGATCATTCCAACGGATATAAACTTTGAATAATTCTTCTTCAGTTTTCCGCAAATTCATCAGAGTCTAATTGGGTCAGAGTCTTCTGATGATGATCAGAGTTTTGCTGAATCAGAGTCTTCTGCAGCAGGTGTGCTTTTAGCGTGTTTAAGATCAGAGCATATTTGAGACAGATCTTCAGTACTGGCAGCTTTAGTACTTTCAGAATCTTCTGTAGTAACTATGCTTTGAAAAAAACTCTTCATACAGAATTCTTCTTTGGTTCAGATGCTTCTGACTTGCTTCAGATTCTTCTGGAGCTTCTGCTTCAGATCCTTTTGGAGCTTCTGCTTCAGAATCTTCTGGAGGCTACGCTCAGGATCTTCTGTTGGCAGCAATCAGAATCTTCTAATGGGTGCATCTGGCGCTTCAGAGTCTAGCTAATTTCTTGTGTTCAATTCTGATTTGCTTCTGGAGTGATAATTCTTTTACTATCTGCAGTAAAAACTCTCAAGCAAATTTTAGAGTATATAATTCTTAATTACAAAATTTCATAATAGTTATCATCAAAACATAAAGATATTATTAAGAACCAATCTGTGTTCTAACACCAACATTGTTTTGACTGAAATCTGACAAGGGCTTAACAAACTTACATCCAACTCTATAAATTTATCCACAAGTGCAGGTAGCATGGTATTTGGCATGTCATAACATGAAATGAAAGACAATAAATTCATTAAATTCATTAAATTGAGTAACTAATACAACAAGAATTTGCAACAACCATTTCACTGAAAATGCAATCTGAACTCACATGCTCTGTCACATCGTAACGTTTCGGTATATTCTGGATAACTGTTGGTGATAATCGCATGGGAGCAAGGGCCACCAAATTAGCTATTTGTTTCAGAGCATCATGCACCAGAGACAGAACCTTATTCTTTCTATCAGCTCCATTTTCATTTTTCAGAAAATCAATGACATGTTTAGGAGCAGTAAAATGCCTCACAAGCCTCTCCAAACACCAATCAATATACATTCCCTTCGAAGCAGCCTGCAAAAAACACATATTAAGAAAACTTCAATAAATTCTCAAATGGCTTCATCTACAAATTACAAAGATATTGAGGTAATACAAAATAAAACATTCACCAATAATATGAGGAGCTCAATCAAAGCATCCATGATATCAGTTGCATCATAATTCTTATATGTTGTAGCCAAATTCCACAAGCTCATTCTCTCAAGCTGAACAAAACATCTCATCAGATCAACCATATCAAAAAATTATCTTGCCACCAAAAACAAAGAAAACGCAGAGACGGAAAACTAACAAAATACGACGGTGAGAATTGAAACGTGGCTAGGGTTTTAGATCGGTAGAGTACCGAAGCCGTAAAAACCGGATCTAACGGTCTAAAACCGGAGAACTACGGAATCGGTGGCGGGTTTTATAAACCGGTTGGGGTTTTGTTATGTGAAAAAGAAAAGGAAATTAGAGAAGGATGGAGATACAGTAGATGCAACAGCAGGTGCGACGCTTAGGAAACAAAGGGAAGAGATGATTGTTGTTGATACGTTAGGGTTTTGATAGAGGATAAAGAAAGAGGGTACGAGAAAGGAGAGAAGGTGAGAGAAAAACAGAAGAAGAGGGTACGAGAAGAGAGAGAAGATGAGAGTAAAAGGGAAGGCAAGAGTGAGAGGGAAAAAGGGAAGACAAGAGTTTTCAGAAAAATTCTGCCACTTGGCAAAATTGGACCATGCTATTGGTCAATGTTTTTGTATTTAATAAATTACCAAAAAGGGCATGGTCTAGTCTTAAGTAAAAATCAAGTAAAGGATAAATTAGGGAGAATGGTGGAATTTTCATTAAGGGTAGGTAGTTGATAGTTAGGGTATAACTAGAAGAAAAAGTCACAAATTCAATTTTTTTTAAAAAGCTTTAAAAAAAGCTTAAAGTTAGTAAAAAAAATCTATAATTTAAAAGTTAAGAAAATTATTAAATATAGTTTTTTCATTCATAAGTTGAAAAGCTATTAATTATAGGTAAAGTTAAAAGTTTTATTTGTGTCTTACTAAACGACTCTAAATTTGTCAAAATATAACTGTAAATATATTGTTGAGTCTATTAACCTTTGCGTGTCACTATTGATGTTGTCTATTAACCATAAGTGATTTTGCACTGAGAGCATCTTTAGTGCAGGTTCTGTAGTATTAAATTCTTTAATAGTAACGGTAGTTATAAATAATTTGCATTGGAATAAGAATGACATGGCAGTAAGTGAACTAACTATTAGTTTTCGGCAACTATATAACCAACGTACACTATCAAATTTCAATGACTCTGATTATTGTTTTATTATTATTTTATATTATTAAAATATCAATAAAGCTCCAACAACTATAAAATGTGGGGTCAAGTTTTGTTTTTTTACAAGCAACCATCATTAAAGTAAAAATAACTAAAATCAACTATAAATATTTTAAATTCTACAAATCACTTTGAGCCCACAAAAAGTATCTTAGTTTACTCATTTAGTTTACTCCCACTAAAGATGCTCTGATTAGGATGATTTTGCTTACCGTTATACCTAATTCCTTGGTCACTATTAAGAATAAGTACTCATTAACTCCAATTAAATACTTTCCTCAATCAGTTGAAGAGAGCCACAATATTCTCAAAGATTAAGCTCTACTTAGGATATCACCGGATTTGATTGAAAGATTTTTAAACAACTAAAACATCTTCTAGGACTTATAAGTACTCATTAACTCCAATTAAATACTTTCCTCAATCAGTTGAAGAGAGCCACAAGATTAAGCCCAGCTCAGGATATCACCAGATTTGAGTGAAAGATTTTTAAACAATTGCTCTGGTTGTTTTCATGGATTACATGAATCCGTGTATTTTAGGCGTACCTTGACAAGTACGTTGTAACCATTATTGATGACATCCATATTTACTCATAGACTCACGTAGAGCATTTTAGGATCGTAGTCTCGATTCTATGAGAAAAAAAGCTCCTTGCCAAGTTTAGTTAGTGTTACTTTCGATCGTCAGAGTTGAAATTTTGTGGGCACGTGATGACTTAAGGAGTAATAGTAGGCCTTTTAAAGGTGAAACCGTGTCGAATTGGGAAATATCCAAAAATGCATCCGAAGTGAGAAGTTATTTGGAACTTCTAGGTTTTCATTAGAGATTAAGCAGTGTTGAATTGGGAAATATCCAAAAATGCATTCGAAGTGAGAAGTTATTTGGAACTTCCAGGTTGTTATTAGAGATTAAGCAGTGTTGAATTGGGAAATATTCAAAAATGCATCCGAAGTGAGAAGTTATTCGGAACTTCCAAGTTGTTATTAGAGATTAAGCAGTGTTGAATTAGGAAATATCCAAAAATGCATCTGAAGTGAGAAGTTATTCGGAACTTCCAGATTGTTATTAGAGATTCATCATGGGATTTTTCCTGATAACCCTGCCTTTGACTCAATTCAATCATAATGAAACTAGATTCTAATGGGATTTCAAATGTGAGCAAATCTTTCAAAAGTTGGAGACGAAGTTGCCTATCGCTTCAATATTGATTGTTCTGGATCCTACATATAAGTATGAAGTTTTTTGTGATGCCTCGAAGAAAGGTTTACGGTGTATCCTGATGTAGATTTGTCAAGTGGTAGCATATGCATCTAAACAATTGAAAACACGTGAAGATAGTTACCTGACTCATGTTCTAGAATTAGCCGCAGTTATATTTGCACCCGAGGTGTGAAGACATTATCTTATAGGGTACATTTTGAAATGTTTAGTTATTATAAGAGCTTGAATTTTTTATTTGATTACAAAGAGTTTAATATGCGGTATAGAAGGTGGACGAAAGACTATGGTTTTGATTTAAGTATCACCCCCAAGAAGGCTAATAAAGTGGCTGACACGTTAAGCAACAAATAAATGCATACAACATAATTAATACTAAAACTCAACTTACTTGGGAAATTATGAAACCTTGACCTAAACTTCACATGAACCCGACAGGGGTGTAGATAAGTCAAATGAATTTCTCATGCAATGTTAGAGAAAGAGTAAGATAAACCTAATTGTTAGATACAAATTTGTAAGCTAGAGTTGAGCAACCAGGTGTCAACTGATCATCATATGAAGTTCTCTTATTTAACAAAATAATGTGTATTCTAAATGATATTCATTATTTTGGAAGTAGCTCATAAAAGTGATTTTACTATGTCACAACAGTTCTTCCATAGACGGAACCAAATTTTTTTAGTAGTGGGGTCAATATAAATATAATATTTTATTTTAAAAAATATAAATATAAATTATAATTTTTCTCTAAGATTATTTATATTTTAAAAATGTTGAATGATTTTCTCATTTTTAACATTAACAAAAATATCTCTCTCAGTATATATAACTAAACAATCATTTAGTCAATCATCACTCATGCGATTTCTCATTCGGTTTTTGGTATTATTCATAGCAGAGAAATCTCTTTCAGCTGTTGCAATTGCCACCACTAATATCAGAGATAACTTTAAAAGAAAATTTACAAACAAATACACAACATGTTTTTTGGTCTCTACGAGCATAATCATCTATAATTCTGAAAATTCACCGTCAGAGCATACATCTAATAAATAGTTTTCAAGCTGACAATCTAATGCATAGAATTCCACTTGAGAAAACTCTGAAGGATAAAATTGAGCTAAACGAATTAACCTCTCCTTATCAAATGCAAAAAATGAATCTCTTGGACTTAAAAAATGAATCTCTTGTAAATGCTGAATGATAAATAACACAATAAATTGTTTACCCAGTTCGGTGCAACCATAATAAGCTAACAAGCTAACAAGTCGAGAAGCAAGAATATATAATCAAAATATAATAATATAGAATTAAAATACAAACAGAGTGAGAAAATATAAAATCAAAGCATTTACTAAAAATAATAAGTCAAGTACAATTGCATACAAAAAGGTATGATAAATCATTCAAAATTAAAACATATTTTCCAATCTTCCTCTTCTTCCTTAATCTGATTAGTAACATTAACTTCAAAGAAATCATTTTTCATCATATGAACCCGCAATTAAAGCATCAACATTTTGATTAGCTCCGCTTGTGTTGTGTATTGGTTGCTCATTAATTTCTTCATCCTCATTATAATCTCCATCACCCATATCATACACATCTCTCACCTTTGCATCTAGAGCAACACACCATCCTTGTTTCTCTCATCATATACATAAAACACCTTTTAGGCTTGTGATGCAAAAACAAACGGTCATCCCAAAGATTTTTTCCAGTGTGTTTCAAAATTTTGAAATTCACAAGTGTCATCCCAAACTTATCTTTCTTGATGCCTTTCTTAATGTCAATCTAATCACATTTGAATAGCACAACTTTGTACTTTCTAGAATAATCCAATTGTATCATATCAGTTATTTCTCCATAGTAATTAATTTCATCATTTGAGGTTTTTGTCCTTACAACTACTCCTGAATTTTGTGTCTTCAAGTATCTCTCTTTTTTCCTAGTGTGAAACCTAAAACCATAAATGGTGTAACCAATGTGTCTCCTTACGACCTCAATTGGTCCATGCGCTAGCCATCTAAGTTCATAAGTAATTTCTTGGATCCTTTGTTCATCCAAGTGATGAATCTACAATAATTCAATAAAAATAGTTAGCTACACGAAATAAGCAACAACTAAATCTTAAAGATTTCATTTCTTTCACAATTACCCTATTTCGAAACCAATCACTAAATCTTTTGCTATGTTGTTTATCGACTTCAAGTTGTGACCGTTGATGCGTCCGAGTCTGTCTCTTAAGTAGTTCAATATGTTCTCTAAAATTAAGGATAACATGATTAAAAGTCCAATATGTTCTCTAAAACAATGGACCCACAACTGTAAAAGTGAAATATGAGAAATAATATATTTATGAGCTTACATTAACTCTTTTTCATCAAGCTTCCTTGTTTTCACTCTCTTGCGCTTCCCCAACTAGAAATTTTGTGGTTTTTTTCCTTCATAGTGGTCTTCCAACAAGATGTAGAAATGTCACAACATCTTTCAATGTAGAATCATCATTATTTCTGCCAGGTCTATTAAACCTATTTTCCACCCCAGATAGATATTGTGAACAAAAGGTCAACCATTCATTGGCCAAAACACCTTCTGCAATTGATCCTTCTGAATATGCTCTATTGTGTACAAATGATTTAAG